TGAAGGCAAAGGAGAAACTGAAATGACTGCAACCCACTCATGAAGGCAGTCAAGGCAAACTTATCGTCGACATTATCAATTTGCAAGGATTCCTTAGTAAAGAGATTGACATATTCTCACAATGTTTTTCCCTTGGCTTGCTTGACATTGAGGAGATAGGTTGGGGGTCGTTGATCAGCTTGGCCCCCAATGAAATGTGAGATGAATAAAGTAATTAGCTCTCCAAATATATTGATAGTATTTGGCTTTAGCTTGTTGAAATAGTGTCTCGCAGTTCCCTTGAGTGTGGTGGCAAAAGATTGACACATTATTTGGTCTGGGACATTGTGGAGCATCATTAAAGACCTGTAAGTTTTTAAGTGGTCCAACGGGTCCTTTGTTCTGTCAAATGCCTCAATCATTGGCATTTTAAAGGCAAGGGATAGTATGATATGTCTTAGGTGAAGGGTGACTCCATGTTCTGGACCAGAGCCTTAATGAATTTTGGGACCCGAGCTTTTACTGTATTCATAACATTCCCCAATTTCTCATTTACTTTTTGGAATTTTTGCTCCCATTGGTCGTTGATTCGAGGATGAAAAACTTTGTTCTGCCTCCAATCGATTTAGTGGTTATCCCCCACATGCTCTCTAGTTTGGGAATGATCCTACTCTAGGAGGTGGAGGATTTGCTGATTATGCTTCTTCAACTCCTCGATTTCTTTTTCCAGCCTCTTAACCTTTGCTGATTCTTTTTCTGGTGGGGGCTCAACCCTTTGTCCCACTGGGTGGGTGTTGGGGTGTTCATGTGTTTGGGTAGCTGTAGTTTGGTTAGATGTTCTAGTTATTGCCATGGGACTTAGGATATTGGAAATCAAGTCGATTCCTATAGATGGCGCCAATTTCTATTCCTGAAAATAGCACCAATGGAATGACTGATGACTTGGAAATCACTGGCAAGCTGCTATAAAGAAGTCAACGACTGACAGGATTCCTGTCTTCAACCATCTAATGATTAAGTCAATGAAGGTGAAGAGGATTATTTGGAATTGAGCTAAGAGGAATTACTTACTTGACTTGTACCTAGTTCTTCTCCTTTATAGGTTGAGCTCTTGTTATTGTTAACGCTCTTCAGCTACCTTTTGAATGGTGCGGCAAAGAAAGTGGAACCATCACCTCAGAATGCTTGGAACTGGTTTGAGATATTATTGTGGGATATGGGCAAGTGGGTTAATATACGGTTTGAAACTTGAAGGCGTACCAGATCTGACTCATGTGCTCGCCTCATGGCTATCCCTATCATGTGCTCGGCCACTCACGTGTTCTCGCATGCGCAGCCATTCACGTGGTTGCCTTGGGTTATTTCTATCTCCATCACCTGTATCTAAGGTCGTACTTGGACAACCTTGACACTTCTTCTTAAGGTTGGACGCACAATCGGACCTCGGGAAACAAACCTTGTCCATTGGCTTTTTCCACAACTCAATTATGAAAATATTCTTCTACTTATTCCTGGTATCATTTTTAGGTATCATCATATCCTAATCTCTTTTAGTTATTTCTCATTTTTCTTATTTGCACACGGATATATAACGTGTGTGTACAACCCTTAGTATAGAATATGTAATGTATCATCAAATCTGTAAGTCCAAATTTTATTTTTTTTAAATTAATCATTTTTCGCAATTATTGTACCATAAAGAAGTCAATCCTTGTCAAAGTTTGACTCATTTTTCATGCCCCCTTTTTGGGGGTCCTATTGTGCTTCTCTTTGAGTTTATCTTCAGCTCTAGGTGAGTGATTTATCTGGTACTACAAATGTATTTTTTTTTAAATTACAACACTTAGTTATTAGTAAATCATTGTGTACCAATGCATGTTTAAAAAAAAAAGTCCTTCCAACTTGGGAGTGGCTGACGCTTAAAACACTTTAATTTCCTTGGGATTTTCAATAGTTAAAAAGTTGTCAAGGAAGACAACAACATGGATTGCCAATTCAAGGAAAGGGTTTGTTCGAGTCTCACCAATAACATTATGGTTCTTTTTACATATCTCCTAAAAAACAAACTAGATCTATCATTAAACATTACGATTTGGGTTGCCCATATCTATGAGATGATATTTCTTGTGTGCATAGTACTTGATGGTGATCGAAATCGACTAGACCGGACTACAGAACAGTTAGGGATGTAGCCCAAAGAATGTGTATACGTGTGTATATGATAGAAAATGTGCTAAGTGTTAGATGCAAGAAGATGACAACAGTATGAGTGGTTCACCCTAGCTTGAAGGACTAAGGTTACGTCTACTGTAAGGGAGGCTCTAGTTCCTTAGGAATTCTATTACTTGGGGAAGAAGATTTTTGTTACAAGGTATTTGGCTAGAAACCTTTTACAGAAAATTGCCTAGGTTACTACTGGGTAGGTTTTCTCTCTATGTCTCTGTGTGGTATTGTTAGCTATTTATACATCCGGTCATTAGGGTTTTCATGCTGATCCTTTTTTGCTAATTTTGTGGTCCCCTCTGTGTTTGTATTGTTGTTGGAGCTACCATCCTTAATGCTTTTTTGCACCCGCTACGCACTGACTGGAATACATGAGTCATCTCCACTACTGGTGAGTTTTCATTCATTAGTATTGTCAGGTATTGTCTCCTTATCTCCTATTCATGTGTCATGCTGCTACTGCTCTTGCTAACTGGCTTGGTGTCGTGCTCCCATTCCTCGAGCTAATACTTATATTGGGCTTGCCGATATTGAGCTGACACCAATTCCGAGTTGGTTTGTTTCGGGCTTCTACACAATTGGGTTGCAATCTAGCTCCAGCCCAATGAATACTATCTCGAAGAGACACTTGAGTCGCCTTATGTGAACTCAAAAAATTTTGGAAGAAGGCTCAGACTTAAATCCGTCATCAATACTTCTAATTGTCACTTAGGAGATAAGCTTCTATTAAAGTTGACACTACTATTTCTTCATGACTTCAGTACGGAAAAAGGTTGTCAAGCAACATAACAATTTGGATTTTTTTTTTTTTTTGGGTTAAAAAAATGATTAGAACAGAAGTATTGATGACTTTTCCAATGATCTATGAGAAATTGATCAGGAAGCGTCTTTGTTTGGCGATAAAGACCCTTTGATGCTTAATAAACAATCAATTCTTTCAATTTTTAAAGTAAAATATGTTCTAATAATGAAAGTTTCTAAAACCAATTGTACAGCTTGTCATGCGTAATTGATCGTAAATATGTCACTTTAACATAATGGTATCCCAATGAGATTACAGGAATATTACCATCGAATGAATTAGATTTCTTTGTACCCAGCTAAAAGGCTGGTCTTGTAATTTTGGTCTTGCCTGCATTCATTGGGCCTTGGGTGAGCCCATTTACTCTCTGTCTTTCCGTGGCCTCTTGGATCTGAGATCGAACCAATACGGTTTGTCATTTTTTGGCACTACGCGGGTCATTTTGGTGGGTGACATTTTCACAGGCTCTATGCCTCTGAAAGGATAGTGCTATGAAAGAGTGAATTTACAAAAAAAAAAAATCCTTCATAAAAAAGCATGTTTTAAGTATACTAGAGAAATTATATTTGTATTGCTTCAAGCTTGGGATGATTACTATTTACTGTTGTTTCTTTTGTAACTTTTCGTTCAACTTTTTTAGTTAAAGAAAATCTAATACAATTCACAACGCTTCGCTCGTAGATTGGGGTTAGAGTCAAGCGTGGAGCCAGAAATTATGTCTAAGGTGCGCACTTTACTAAAAAATTTTAATTTTTTTTCTTCTAATCAATAAAAATAAAATAATATATTCAAATTTATTATATTGTATTTGATACTTAAAAATTCATAAAATATGAAAAGGGTCAAACTTTGATAAATATAACATACATAAATAAAAACAAACAAAAAAGAGAGGTTAATTATGCCCTTTCATGACAAATGAAATAAATTGCATAAAAGATACTATAATATTTCTCCATATAATCTCTATAGCTTAAAAAAAAGGAGTTCGACATGTCAAAAACTTATATAGATGTATCCTTAATGTGTCAAAAAATTCATAATTATTTAAGTACGGAGACTATACTAATTGATAGAACAAAAAATAATAAAGTTGACACACTTAAATATGCTTCAAATTATTTGAAATATACATAAGTAATATTTAAAAAAAAATTGAAGGTGGGCACAAATGTGGATTGCAAAATTTGGATACAAGCTATTACGCAGTTATACAATTGTATTGTAAACATAGGAAATATACTAATCAACGAATCTAAATTACTATAAGAAAAATAAAACTAACATCACTCTTTAATGGGATATGGGATAAAAGAAAAAGACACAAACTTGTTTCTTGCATGCAACTCAATCGCTTGTCCAAATGAAGTTGGACGTTATTTCATATCCAAAAAATCATATATTGATTTTTTGTACAAATATTCCCAATAATTTTCTTTTTAATATACACAATCAAAGAGTTCATTCGTAATTCTTCCTTTAGTTTATTGAAAAGCTTATTTTTAACAATATGCATAGACGAAAATAATCCCCAAGACTAACATGCAACACCACCACTCAAAATTCAGACCATAACAATGAATTTTTTTTACTTGTTAAAATGTAAGTGGATAAGAAATGGGTGAAGTTAATCTGTTCAAGGCAATCATCAAAAGCTGTTGCACATAATATTTTTCAAGACATTTACATTATAGGGTCACAATGGAAAGATTAGAAAATTAATGGATCCTTAAGTGAAAATATCACAACAAAATTGTTCTATGCATATTTACAAGGGGCAATGCAAATGAAGTGGGGCAATGACTCACCATGGCCTAAGAGTGGGTCGGTCACTGTTTGTAGTGAAGTTTGAGAGAGATATATGATCCAAATTCTTTTCCCATGTTATGAGAGATTGATTCCCGACCCTGCTAGTTTATGTAATTGCGGTTTTCACTTTCTGCAAGTAGTAAACTTGCTATATTGAAATAAAGCCATAATGACACACAAATTTGCACAATAACTACCTGCCCGGAATAGCATCACACTAACATGGAGGAAACACAGAAATACACAACACACAGGAGCTTATGCAAGCGGATGAAAGCATTTAATCATGGAACAACACAGTTGTTGAACTGGTTTTTGAGTTTGTTGATGGAGATTGCAGTGATGATCATCAAGAGAGCCAGCCCGATGAAAGAGGCGATCATGGCGCCGCCTCCATGGTCGCAGAAGGTGTCGAATTTGTCGCAGATTTTATTCCATCTTGCATGTGAATTACCATTCTTTCCTAGCTGTCCCATGAATGCCGCTGCACTTGCTCCACCAGACAGCAGAGCCACATTCAACTATTCCCAGTAAAAAAACGAAAACAAAGATCATCACAAGAAACTTGACATAGTGGAAGGCGGAGATTCATAATTTGTCAAGCTTTCGCTAGAAATCCAGTCATATATTTAGATATTGCTCTCTATGTTGTTCAAGTTCAATGTGGAATGACCATCGTTATCATCCCAGAGATTGAGATACTGTTCTCTCGCTAACTCTATTCGATGTATAAAGTTAGTGAGAGAATCATTGACATTAGTTTATCACTAATCTAAATTGTTTTGATTTTCTGTGGTTATTTTTATCATATTTGTGGTACCCAAAAAAATGTTAAAAATAGTTACGGCAACAGTGATAAAAACATCTACAAAAATGATAAAAACACTTATAACAACGGTAAAAACACTCACAGCAGTAATAAATCACCCACATAAGTGATATATTTTTTTGTTAAAAAATGATCCACAAAAATTATAAAAATACTCATGAATGTAATATAAGTTAGAAGTACCGTATTGAAATTTTTTTCTTCTCGTAGTCAAGTAAAATATTATTAAGACAGAAAATATGATTGATTAGTACCATGTCTAAAATTGCAATCACCAAGAAGCGGAGTCCGATGATATCATATTTGGGTCCAATAAAGTCCACAGCTAGCATCAACAAGCTATGGAGACTGGCCATCCCATTAACTATCACAAAGAACCTGTCTCAACAACAAATACCCAATTAGACCATCTCTTGGATCCAAAAAAAAAATTAGACCATCTTGCCTTCCACATGAACAAAATTCACCCATAAAACTACTACAAGGTGGAAAAAGAAGAAATCATGCTATGAAATTCTTTTTACTGTGCCCTCACAAGTCAAAAATTTTTATCCAAAAAAAAAACAGACGTTTATGATTGGACCAATATAAAATAATTAAAATAGTTAAGAGGACAATGTAAAAAATTTAATAGTTTAAAGAGCAAAGTAAAATCAAGTTCATAGCAAATATGTGTATGGAAGCCAAGGGCAGCTCAACAAAATTAAAAAAAAAGGCTTGGGTTTAAGGTCCCAAATTTTTAGAACACTCCATAATTTTAGGTATATTACTAACCCAGGAAAAATTTAAATTCTTTAAATTTTAAACCTTAAAAGAAAGGCCCTAAAAAATTATGTAGAATCAAAGTTTTTATTATAATAATTTGAGTCTCTGATCTAATTCATAATATTAGAAACCTAAAAAAAATAAAAAGTGCTCAAAAGTCAACTCATATTTATTTTTATCCTCTCTCTTTGTGTAAAAAAAAGTAAAAGACATTAAAAAAAATTAAAATTAAATACTCTCTCCAATAAAAATTAAAACATTTTTCTCGACAACATTAACAGGTCGTTCTTCTGTCTCTCTCTCACATATTAACTTAAAAATAAATTAACTTCTTTTAAAAATAATATTAAAAATAAAAAGACACTCGTTTAGTGTTTTCGTTTTAAGTCTTAAATTTCTTTGAGGCACCGGAAGCTTACACAAATGCTGGGGTATGTTGGAACTTGGCCGTGAGAGTGGCTTTCAGTGGGGTATTTCCAATAGTGGCAACAACGAAGGTTTTAGTCTGTTTGTTGAGCGCCATTACAAGTGCAGCCGATGCTGTGGCCGAAAATGCCAACAGTCTCAGCATTGGAAGCACCCAACTCTGCGGCTTTGTCGCCATCACTAGCTTGCTACCAGACTCTGGTTTTTCTCCAGCTTCAGAAGCCATGGACAAAGGAAAGATAGAAGAGGAGAGAGAGAGAGATGTATGGATGTATTATTTGGATAGCAGGGGCTCCTTCATATACACATGGGTGGAGAGAGAGAGAGAGAGAGAGAGAGAGAAAAAGATGGGTCGCCTACATAATTTGCTACGTCAAACAAGTAAAGTTTGTGTGTAGTTTCTTGGGGCGTCTAACAAACCAAGTAATTTCATGTCTCTAGTATTGGTGGGTAAGACAACTTAAAATAGAGTGTCAACCAAGTTTAAACATGATAATAATATATATACATAATCTCAAGCCAAGTAATCCATGCTATTGGTGGAAGTTCAAATCATATAGCTGGGGATGAAAGAAACTTAAAAAGAAATATTTTGGTGAGCCAGGTGCATAGGGGATAAAAAGTGCAGATTTTGGTGGAAGATCTCTCTTAGGATTGATTATTGCCAATAAAAAGTAGATGGGCAAATTTATTTTAAAGAAGAAATAATTAGTCAACGAGTAGCAATACTAGTGTGACTATTGGCTGAGTTAGGCTGGACGGAGCTTGCTGGGGTGACCCACTACTGTAGTAAAAGGAGGAAAGATTGTAAAGTGGTCCGAACAATGATTAAAGCTGTCGATCAAGTCATATTGGGAATTCTAGGCGTGTTTGAATTTCATCTTAAAAAATAGCATGTAAAAATAATTTTTAAAAAGAATTTTAAAAAAATATATTTTGATATTTTTTGTATCACAAAATTTATTTAGTTATATTATTCCAAAAACAGTTATATAAAACTTATTTGGTTCTGTTTCTAATATTGATACCCTTTTTATGTAAATCACGATTCTCATTTAATTTGTGAATAACACAGAGATGTTTTGAATGACTAAGATGAGTAGTCCAAGCTATCGTCATTAATGAATCTTAACCTACCGTTCGTCATACCACAACATTTTGATATAATTTAAATGTCTCGCATATCCAACGTCATACCACAACATTTTGATATAATTTAAATGTCTCGCATATCCAACGTTTTCTTTATCATATCATTTATTTTGTAACTTCTGATACTATTCCACGATATTGTGGCCGGTGGGTCTGATCAATGCCCTCTAAGTTGATAATTAATGGATGTTGTGGTCTTGAACCATGATCGGAGCAGCTCTTAGTCATATTGATTTTGGCTTGTTCATAGTCGCTTACGTTCCAAAATGAACCAATGAATTTCGTTAGATTTATAAACTGGTTTAGTGATGACTTGAATCCAAGAAACGAAAGACTTGACTCAAGTATGCCCAGCTTGGTCAGATGGGCTGTTTGTCTAGAAATCCAATCTGAAAGATAAAGAATCTCAAGCTTATTTCAAAATAGTTATACAACATAAACACTTCTCTCTTTCTCTCTTTTATAATACCTTTTTTTTTTTTAACTTTAACAACTAGTGTTTGACTTTGATGTTAAATTTTATGAAATTTTTGTGAGAAATTGATTACTTTAGAATTGATTATTAAGTCATAGAGTTTGATTATTGAACCTTTTTACTAAGAAATGAAGCTTGTTTTCAAATTGAGTTTTGCTAAAATGCCCACAAAATTTCACTGATATGAACATGCAAAAAGAATCTAAATTTGAAAGTCGAGCTTGTTTAGTCACAATCAAATCAATATGATCATATTCAAACTTGACTTGATTGACACTCCTATCAATAGAGTTGGTACCTAGAACGGCCTGAACCGCTTAGACTTGACACATTCTAGGCCTATGATTAATATTGAGGACTCATGTTGTCCACTCCTGAATAAACTAAATATTGTCGTTTTTCTCAAACAAATAAATAAAAGAAGTCATGAATTTAGATTTAGCCCATACAAGTAAATGCTAATACTATTATAAAATGTCAACAAAATTGAAATTTTTTTAATTGACTAAAATAACCTTAATAAAACAAGTAATGTCACTTATATTCTATTTATAAAACTTTGAATTTCTTCTATTATCCATAATCAATTATATAATATCAAGTATATCCTATCCTCTTATTTAACTCATAAACCTTCTCATTCTAAACTTACTCAATATCAGAAAATCTATTTCATCCTTAATTTAATAATTACTATTACTGGTTTAACTTGTAGAATTCTGAATTATATACAAAAGGAACCTGTTGTACATCTTTTTAGAGGATAGGATTCTAAACATTGAATATATCAGTATTGAAATTGAACCATTTATTAAACTAGAAGTTCAATCATTTAGGTCCTTGCCCGTTCTCCCTTGCAAAGTCTTATTCAATGCAAACACTTCTGATTCTCTCTGTTGCAAAACAAAGAGGTTGCAGCAGTAGGAGTGGGTTCCACGATTTGGAGACAGTTTCACTTGGTTCTACTGCTTCAACTGTCCAAACTCCCAACAATCAAATTTGGTGATGCTTTACTTGCTTATTCTCAGAGGATTCAGCTGCTTAAGCGTCACGACTCATCAAACTTAAGACATTTCCATCAAATACGTTCCATAAAAATTGATGGTGCTTGATTTTACTCTTCTTTCCTTACTATTCTCAATTCATATTAACCCAAAAAAAAAAGTCAAAGGCTTTGCTTTTCCTTTAATTTTCTGGTTTTTACTTCTTTGTGTCATTTTTGGCTTGCGAATTACAAAGTTGTTTGTGAGTTCAATTGCAAGAATCGTGATACGCATGTACAACATTTTGATTTTAGCCTCTTATGGGTCTTTTTTATGGTTCATTTGTTACAATCTGAAGGACTGAAGCTGATGGACAAGAGAAAAAGTATAAGACTTGGGGGCTAAAACATATCTTATTCCAATAGATAATGGTCTATATAAATAAGCCTTAACATTAATGGAAAACACCAAAAAAATAGCAACTAAACTGGACCACTATCTCCTACAAACTAGGCTAACAACAGCCAATACTGGAACAATAAAAACAGACTCAATAAACTCCTAAAAATAAGGACTACTCCACGAACTCCTCAGAGACTAAGTCAGCAATTTGACTAAGTCATCCAACAATCCCCTCCCTTAAACTAATGTCAAACCAAACATTTAGTCTAAGACTTATTAGAAGTAAAGGGGCCTTCCCTTAAATAGGGTCTTCCAAAGTGCATACACCAAGCAACTTTCTGAGCTTCACAAATGACACCATCTTGAGGGACTTGGTGAACATATCAGCAACTTGGCCTTCACTTCTGCAATAGATGAGATCAATTACTCCATCCTTTGTGAGGTCTCTTAAGAAGTGAAACTTCATGTCAATATGCTTGCTTCTTCCATGTAGAACTGGATTCTTGGAGAGTTTGATGGCAGAGCTATTGTCATAGAAAATTGCAATAGCACCTTGACTCTTCACACAAAGCTCTTCAAGAATTTTCTTCAACCATATAGCTTGACAGGCACATGAAGTGGCAGCAACAAACTCAGCTTTTGTGGTTGATAAAGTGACGATTGGCTGTTTCTTTGAGGACCATGAAACAGCCCCTGAACCCAACATAAAGACATAACCCGCAGTGCTTCTTCTATCATCTTGATCTCTAGCATAATCACTATCAGTGAAGCCTATCAAGTCTGATCTTTCTCCCTTCTTGTAGAACAACCCAAAATCTATAGTACCTTGCAAGTACCGAAAGATCCTCTTGGCAGCTAGAAGATGTGACTCAGTAGGATTCTCCATGTATCTGCAAATGAGATTCACATAATACATTATATCTGGCCTTGTTGCTGTCAAATACATTATACTCCCCACAATTTGTTTGTAAAGTGTGCTATCAACCTTCTTTCCTTCATGATCTTTAGTTAGGTTCAAACCAAACTCTGTTGGTGTGCTCACAGAATTGCAATTCGTCATCTGAAACCTGTCTAAAATCTCTTGCACATATTTCTTTTGAGAAATAAAAATTCCAACAGTAGATTGAACCACTCCAATACCAAGAAAGTAGTGCATCATTCCAAGATCGGACATTTCAAATTCAGTCATCATGGACTTCTTAAATGATTCAAACATAGCATTATCATTTCTAGTATAGATCAAATTATCAACATATAAGCATGTAATGAGCATTTTCCCCTCAGCCCCGATCTTTATAAAAAAGTGTATGTTCATAAGGATATTTGTAAAATCCTTCCTTCAAAAAATAAGCTTCTATATGACTATACCAAACTCGAGGGGCTTGCTTTAATCCATATGGGGCTTTCTTTAATTTATACACTTTATGCTCATTCCCAAATTTCACATAACCAGGAGGTTGATCAATAAATACCTCTTCTTCCAAAGCTCCATGTAAGAATGCCGATTTGACATCTAACTGGAAAATTGGCCACGAGTTTTGAGCTGCCAATGCAACCACCAATCTGATTGTATCTTGCCTTGCCACAGGAGCCAATACTTCTTTGTAGTAGACACCGAACTCTTGCTTATAGCCTTTAGCTACTGAGCGCGCCTTGTACTTGTCGACTTCACCATTCTCCTTCAACTTTATCTTGTACACCCAATTGACGCCAATGGTCTTTTGCCCTTTTGGAAGCTCTGTTAACTCCCAAGTGTGATTTCTTTCAATGGCTTCCATTTCAGCATCCATAGCCTTCCGCCATTTTGCTTATTTGACAGCGTTTTGAAAGATTGTAGGGTCACAATCTGAAAATAGAGCAAAGTGTGCAAGTGGATCTTTAGTCTGATCAACTCTACTTACCTCATAATCTAACATCCATGTGGGGCTCCTTCTAACACGATGGGGACGTGAAACACTTGTTGGAACAATCTGCTCTTTCGGTTCTATTGCTGCATAATCTGATTGAGTGTCGGTGGTTGTCAAAACTTGATTGTAAGGAGAATCAAGTTGTTGAAATAGCTGTTGCGTTGTGTTATCATTTGCACCATCAAAGGCTTTGTCATCTAACTTTCTTCTTTTTTCATCTGGAACATGGGCATATGCTATACACCCAAACACCTGAAAATGATCAATAGCTAGTCGACGCCCATTCCATGCTTCTTCAGGGGTTATA